CATGGACACACACACACACACACACACACACACACACACACACACTTAAACTACAAAAATATAAAAACAAGTTAAAAAAACAAAACAACAACAAAAAAAACAAACACATCAGTCGTCCAATCAGACACGCCACCACTTCTCCCAGCACCTCTCATTGGTGGATGAGCTTCACAGTGTGGTAAGAAACTCTCTGACCTGCAGATAAAAATTAAGTCCTGTTACCAGATTACAAAAGCCTTTCAAAATAAAACCACCAGGTGAAAGTTAAATGAGAATTAAATACAAGCACAGAAAGATGGAAGCAGCACATACATGAACAAACAGCCAAACATGGAAGAATCTGACATATTTTACTGTCACTTCAAAGTATACAAACTTTTGCGCAGGTCACAGAGTTGACACAGTTTATTCAGTTACTCTCAGGAACGATGTTCAAAAACAGATTAAACACATGTTAGGCGTATTGCATTATATAAACAGGCACACGTCAGAATATAAAATGCAGCAAAGATTTCTATTAAGAATTAAGATACTGATTGTTAAAAACCCCAATAAAAGCTTGACGGTCTTTCCTCTCGTGGCGATCGTTGGGTCTGCGCTTCAGCAGGCCCGCTAGTTCAGAGATGCATCACCCCCCACTGTTTCCTAGCCAACTTCCAAGAAACAGCCTTCCCTGCAGCCTTTTATTCAGTGAATGCAAGCACCACCCATTCTAACACCCACAAATGGTTAAAATCACCGCGTGCGTGTGTGTGTGTGTCTTCTTGCCACACAATATATGCTCACAACTGTTAACCACATTTCCTGGTTATCCAAAGGCCATCTCCCCACACCCGTATATGGCTTAACATTAATGGTTCACCATATGCAAGCATAGGCGAGCCCCTAAATGGCCGGGAGTGGACATCCTTCACAAGATAAGGAAACCAGAATCTCACATGAAATCTGCCTGTAGTTAAACAGCTACAGCTGATTACCTCCTGCAGCATCATAGATGTGTCGGACGAACAGAAGAATATCTAACCACGCAGTTTAAGGCACGGTTTACACATTTAAATGCAACAATGGCAACATTTAACAATTTACCCTGACAGTGACGGTACTCCTGACAAACAGAGTCACTCGTTATACAGACGAGGAGTCAATGACTTCTACATAAAAGCAAACAAGAAGTGGTTCACTGGTTGTTTGTAACCAAGAGAAGAAACAGAACGGTTTGGGACGTGTATGAAAAACAAATAAAACCACCATCATCAGAAGAAAAACCTTCAAAATAAAAGCTCAGACTGACCTTGTCGATGATGGCTTCCTGTTTGATGCGGTCGTTCTTGAAGTCGTCGTTGACATCCAGGACGAGAACAGGAAGTTCGCTCAAGTAATCAAAGTCCAACCTTAATGCAAACACAGGTTAAAAAGGCGCTCCTGAACGCACCGCTGAGGCTCTGAGCACGCTCAGTGGCATATAGTTACCTGAGGTTCCTGTGGTAGAGCCAGGCTTCATGTTTGAAGTGCAGCTGCTCAAGGTACTCCAGAGGAATTTCCTGCTCTTCTTGCCGGCCGCGATGAAGCAGCCGCTGCATGCAGCGCTGAAAAATACACACACAAACACGGCACCTGAAGGCAACCGAAGGAAGGAGAGCCCATCACAGAGGGTGATGCGTTTACCCTGAGGTGGCAGGACTCTCCAGGTTCTCCTGTACGTCTTTACCTGTGGCGGGGCTCTGAGGTAGATGATGGCGTCGAGAGCGATGTCGGACTCAAACTGGTTCAGTAACCAGGTGTGCCAGTCCTGATACACACTCCACTCCGTCTCCGACAGGTCGCCACTCTCAAACAGGTTTGACGCAAACACGTACCTGTACACACAGGAGTTACATGTCTCACACCTGTGTCTGTGTTAAATGCGTGCGAGTTACCTGTCAGGTGATCAATGGTCATGAGAATTTACATAATTAAGATTAAGGAACTGACCTCCCAGCCCATTGTTCCCTCAGTGGGCTGGTTTCAGTCATTATGTTTATAAGATTGAAACCTGCAGTCAGCTGAGACTGAAGACGTCACCTGATGATGATGAAACGCTACGTGCAGATGAACAGAAGCAACCTTTTGGAGACCTGTCAGGTAAGTTACCTGTCGGAGTAGACGGAGCGCTCGTAGAACTGGACGGGGTTTTCTGCCTGCTGAAGTTTGATTGATGGCGACTGAAGCTGAGCTCGAACTCTGCTCAGACACGCGTAGCTCTGCACACAGGTGAGACTCACTTGAGACAGGTACACATAGTCTGACACACAGTGCTGCTATGGTAGGGGATGGAGCCAGGTGTGTTACCTGGAAGGTGTAGGACCAGCGGCTGGGTTTATCGTACAGCATCTGCAGCAGGTTTCCTCCACTCTTTTGAGATGAGCTCAGCTCCTGCAGGTAAACAAGCAGGTAAACAAGCAAGTAAACACAGACTTCAGAGAATGTGTGCTGCATTCAGGCTCACCAGGTAAACGTCATCGCTGTCATTCTGCACGTTGCACCACTTGCCAATCGGTTCAGGGATGACCTCCCAGTCCTCTGATGCTGCCTGAAGGAGGCGCACAAATGTCGACTTTCCTGCAGCTGGAGGCACATGGGTGAGACACACGGGTGAGACACAGAAATGTGACAGATCTCTGGTCCTGCCTGATTGGAGGAATCACACCTGTTCAGGTAACCCTGACATGACACAATCTCAGGTTTACTGTTCCACAAAGTGAGCCAAGTTACCATGGTAACATTAGACCTGGTAACAATGACCCACTTCCTGTTATTCTTAGTGAGCTGGCCTTTTCCCTCTTTGCCAGCTGGACCCAAGGCGGCGTGCAGTGTGGAGCTACTGATGCTCCACACACTAATACAGGAAATCAGCATTAATGCTGATGCTGTAGGACTTCCTGTGTGGGTGGGGCTTAAGAAAAGGACCAAAACAGCTGACTTTTGCAGGAAGTCATGTGACCGCAGGATCAAGTAAAACCATGGCAACCATGAGCAGCTGATTCAACCTCTGATTGTCTCTGCTCACACTCCTCACGCTGTCACCTGACCCCAACCTCAGTGATGAGGTCACGTCCTCGCTCTGAAGATCAAAACTCTGACCTGAGACTGAAGAAGTCACCTGGATGAGTGACAAAACGTTTCTCCACAAAACGCTGCGTCCAGATGAACAGAATCAACCTTTGGAGGTCTGACCTCGACTTGCAAACCTCCATCAGTCTGGCTCACCTGAGCCCCGCCCACAGACTCCACATGACCAGCGTTCACCTTCAAACACCTAAAGGAGCAAGCTCCACCTATTTATCACCCAAATTTAAACCTCCGCCTTCTAACCCCAGCAGCACAGCTCCATTAAAAACTGCTGATTATTGATCACAAACAGCTGATTTTCAAAGACAAACAGCTTATAATTGAGTTCAAACAGCTGATGATCAATCGATTATCGTAAGAAATCACTCGGTTGATGGAATCGTCCAGATGATTACTGACTGTTGACAGCAAATTTTGACTATAAACAGCTGGTTATCGATCATCAACAGCTGATTATTGAATGCAGGGCTGAGTATTGACTACAAACAATTGATTTGCGATATAAACAGCAATTGACCATGGACAGCTAACTGTGACTAGAAACAGCTATTTATCGATCACAAACAGCTGATTATTGATGATAAGCGGGCGGTTTTGGCGCCACTTGTTTCCGTGAAGGCGGGAGGCTCACGGACTTACAGACCCGGGCCTGAGAGCTCGTTAACCGGCGGTCCGGGTCGGTCCCCCGGCTCCGTTTGCCCCGGTCGGTCCGGGTCAGTCGGGGTCCGCGAGCGTTCAGCCGGTCCGGGGGGCGCGCGCCCCGGTGAGCTCACCTATGTTTCCTTCGATGGAGATCTTCTTCTCCTTCCTTTGACGGGAAAAGCTGCCGTTCAGCGACGGGCTGCGGGGAGGGGGGCACGGCCTCTTCGGGGGGGTCGCCATGTTCACGGATCGATCGCTGATTATCGACTATTGCTCGCTGCTGTTTTGAAACCCACTGACCGGCGCGCGAGATGCTGCTCAAATTAAACTCCGCGCGCATACAGACTTCCGTTTCCGGGGGCGGAGTCACGCATGAGCAGAGGAGGAGGAGGAGGCCTCCGTCAGTTTCCTTCATGTCCAACATCACACCTGCCTCACTCCACCTGCCTGGCTCTACCTTCTGTTACCTGTGTTCACAGCAGCCTTTCATCTCATCCACAGAGGAGAGAAACACAGTGGGTGGAAACAGTAGCGGTTTTTGAGCGGGGGATTCTCTGGCTGGCTGGAGCAGCATCTAATCACCAACCCGCAAAATAAAAACAAACCAACAAACACGAAAACACCAGACATCATGATACAGACTTATAATTTGCACCGATGTTTTTTCGAAATTTTATACGCGAAAAGTGAGCGCGAGAGCCCTCGGTGCGCCTGCTCGCTGCTGAAGTCAAAGTAAACTTTATTGTCATCTCCGCTACAGACAGTCCAGCATATAGAGACGAGACGACGAGGCTCCAGCTACAGCAGTGCAAGTAAACAAACAATAAATATAAGAAGAGTAAGAGAATAAATATACACTTGAGGACCAGGAGTAAAGGATCAATAACAATTCAAAATCTATGATTTACAGTTTGATGATTTAACCCTTTAAGATCTACCATAGAACCAAGTCTGCCAGAGCTTACTTTATATTTTTACATGGTGTAGTAGCATTTCAAGTTGCTATACATCAATACAACCGTTATAGCCCAAATTTTAATAATATGTCTGCATTAAGTCCAAAGTAATTACATAAATTGCAAAAATGTGCAATAAACTACAAGAAAATTTAAAATCTTTTTTTTTACATATATTTCTACTTAGAGAAATTCAAGAGGCTTATCCCTGAAAACTTTAAATAGAAAAACATTGCAAAAATAAAACTTCAAGTAAAACACAAGCACTTCTGTTAAATTATTGCAGAGTGCCCACATTGTAATTCAACAAAATATCAGTGAACTATTTGGCACTGTCTCCAGCTTTCAGAATAATAAATAAACACTTCTGTTTGGAATAAAGTAAATAAAAATTAGGTTTCAGAATGAAATAAACAATGGACACAGAATGTCCATATTGTTTGTTTGTTAATTTATTTCAAACATGTAAACAATATACAGGTACATTTAGTATGTGGAGTATGTGGCAGGGACTAAACACGATCGCAGACTTTAGAGGGAAAACCAGCACACCGCAGACCA